CCCCAAAACCCCAAAACCCCAAAACCCCGTGGTAAAAGATTTGGTAAAGTTGGGAAATTAAAGTGCATAAATTAACCAGAAGCTATTAAATTTCAAATATATGAATAGTTGAAGGTTATAATCTTTCAATTAAAATTTAAACAATGAGCTCAGGAGATACCTATTAAATAGGTGCTAGAGATGTTTCAATCAAGGACGACAAGCAGTACAGCAGAGTTATAGGCACTAAGACATATGGTGATGATGATGAACAAGAAAACAATGTAGTCGGTGATGTTCAAACATTAGATGGAAATGATGATGACGTGAAAAATCAACCTATTGATGAAGATGACAACTTCAACAGCGACCCTAACCGTCATTCTGATATGAAATCATTTTACGGAAAAGTTCAAACTTAGTCAACAACAGATAGAATAAGATTAGGCAAATAAGAAGAGTTTAATGAGGATGGATTTGATATTGGTTAAAAAAATCCTAACAAGAGTGGAAGCCGAAAGCAAAATATGAACAAGAGCGCCAAAGGCAAAGATCTTAACAAAAGTGGAAAAGGAAAACAGTCGAATAAGGGACCAACCAATACAGATGAAATCTTCTCTAAAGCCTCTGATGGTCCAGTGAATAGATCTGGAAAGTATAAGCAATCACCAGTAGAGGATGAACCAACTCCATCAGGAAAGCAAGGTCCAGGTAGCATCAATTTTGATGATGAAGATACTGACTCTACTAGGTTGTCTATTCTTGAAAAACTAAGATTGATCTTCAGAGTAATAGGAAGCTTAATCTCTTTCATGAATTTGATAGGGCTAATATTCTACGCTCTTAAGCATGAATTCCATTCTTAACAGCTATTTCAGTCATTCAATGCGTTTGTAGCTTTGAGACCAGTAATTATTTTGATATGGAGTGTGATTCTCCTAGTCAGAAATCTTTGCATATATAAGATTGATCATCACAAAACCGATGTTACTGGTGACTTGAAAGTAGTGTGCATTAATGGACTTATTATGTATCTTAGCTTCCCTCTAATGTTTTGGTTTGGTCTATTCAGAGTCTATGCAGTGAAGGACTTCGCAATGATTATTTTCGTTAACTACGTCCTTGAATTCATTCAGAATATAGCACTAATTTTCGTCTAAGGCACAAATAATGCTATGATCAACGAAAGATTCCCCACAAATTTGAACAAATATACACTAGGACTCACTATTATCTCTCTAATAGAAATATTTTTGCAACTGTGCATTTTCTTCTTAGAAGTCAGATTTAATAACAAAATGAGAAATGAAGCTATAGGTACTAGTAATAACACTAAAAAATACGAACCACTCTCTGAAGAAAGAAGAAGAGTCAGAAATTTCAGAAATTCTGCTATTCTTAGCTCTCTCGGAATAGTCCTATTTATTATGATAATTGCTATTGGGAATGAAAAGCTAGATGGTAGATCTTGCTCATTTGGCAGAGTTTTAGAAGGAGGAGTGTGTGTGGAATGCTCCGATCAATATTGCTTATAGTGCAGTCAAGCTAAAGATTAATGCGATTATTGTATGCAAGGCAATTATCTTGATGTAGAGACTAAATAATGCAAAATGTGTGATGCTTAGGGTATTTGCAGATCCTGTGGATATGATGGTACCTGCACTAAATGCATTTCTGGTTACAGAGTTCATAAGGGTGGTTGTTTCACCTGCTCAGCTACTGAAGGTTGTGCTGCATGCTCTGGAACTGAATGCCTTGTTTGTAATGAAGGCTACTATCTTGATCCAGAAACAAAATCCTGTGTAAAATGTTCTACCCTCCACCCATACTGCACAAAGTGTAATGATAAGTAGTAATGCCTTAACTGTCTTGATGGTGTTGCAAATTTGGCAAATGGCACATGCTTATGCAATGATATAAATGGATGGTCTATCTCAAATACATCTACTCCTACTAAATAAATGTGCTCATGTAATGACGGGAAATTCGTTGACACTACCTTGGGAATGAGATGTGCAGCATGTAGCTAACATATCGTAGGCTGCGAAGACTGTTAATCAATCACATCTTATATCTATGGCCACAAATACATTGGAACAACCGATCTCAATCCTAAGTAAGCAGGCTATTTGAAATGTAGAGAGTGTGGCCCAACCAAATATTTAGATTTAGACTTAAAAGAATGCAGATATTGCAAGAATAATTTGCCTGGCTGTTTGAATTGTGATAAATATGGGCAAGGATGTACCTAATGCTAAAACGGATATTTCTTGTATCAAGCAGAAAAATCTTAATCATTTGAATGTGGATAATGCTCGGATTCTGTAACTTATTGCGATCTATGCAGCTCCTCAGATTCCTGTGATCAATGCTAGACTGGTTACTCACTTACTCAAACAGGAAAGTGCACTAAAAACTGATATCATTTATTCTTAGTATTTAGGATTACTCACTTCAAATTATATCAAGTATTTTCAGAATATAACATCATCTATCTTGGGGGGGTTTTGGGGTTTTGGGGTTTTGGGGAGATCGGAA